TGTTGAATTAAATCTGTTCCGATTTGATCTGATCTGTACAACTCTGATTCTGATTTGATATTTGTCCGTATAAGTTCTGATTTGATTCTGTTCTGATTCGAGATCTGATTCTGTTCCGATTTCTGTTCTGATTTCTGTCTGATGAGTTTGGTTTTGGATTCTGAGAGTTTTGATTGGAGGTTTGTTGCTTTGCTGAGCTGTTGAGCTCACTCTTGTTTTCTGGTGGTTTTCAGGTTCTGGGAAAGGGAAGGAAGTCCAGGAGTAGATTTCTGAGTTCTGATCCGTATAGGTATTGTTTGTACCTTTTGATTTTTTTTGTACAGTCATGGCTTTTCTGTTCTGTCTTTCTTTCTGTTCAAAAGCCATATACTGTATCTGTAGATGATTATTTTGAGGAAAATGAAACTATAAATGTTTTGTTCCGCTGTGATTGATGATAACTAGTAGCTCTGTGGTTGTGTGTCTGTTGAGTTTAAATATTTGGAAGATTCAGTTCAGAAACCAATTCCAAAGCCAGATCCTGGATAAGAAGGTTTTGTCGCGGTCCGGCTCGGGCGGGATCCGTCCCCGTCGGGTTGGGTCGTGACACATGTAATGCAATCTATATGATGTACATTTGCTACATCAATCCGGCCTTCTCCCTAAGAAGGACCTCATTTGTAATCGACTACAAATACTAGTGGATTCATTCAAACTGGGTCAGGCCCCGTGGTTTTTCCCCCTTTCAGGGGTTTTCCACGTAAAAACTCTGGTGTCTCTTATGAATGCTAGACCCTTTCTCTTATCTGATTGCGTGCTGGATTTTCGTACAACGCTAAGACGATAAATCTTATATTTCTCTACCGCTACGAATACTCCTGGACGCAACAAATATAATGGCTATACTTCAGCCTTGTACTATGCTAATCATCTGCTTATAAAATGAGAATTCTCTGATGAAAGCAAGGAATCCAATTTACAGATCAAATTTGCAATTGCCAATCACCTTCTGTTGCTTGAATATATTCTGGATTGCATAAGAATTTTGGAAATAGAAAACATCTTATGACAGTGCAATGCTTTTATAGGTTTTCTATTAGCAAAAGTACATAGGATTCTTAGCAGACAGGCCTAATGCCTATGAAAAATTACTCTTAGCATCAAATTATATGACCTATCTTGCCTTGAAAAGCTCAAAAAAGATTTGAACTTTACAGCAGAAGTTTTTGCTGCTTGATGATTTTTACTTGAAGAAAGCTTTGTTCTGTAATTTTAGTCCAGCATTCATTAGAGTTTCTCTTGATTAACCTTTGGATTGCAGAGGAACTTGAACCTTTTTTGTGTAAATATTGGAATGGCTAGCACAGGGATCTATCAGCTTTCTCGCAAAGTCCGGTAAGATAATATTTTGCTTTAATAAGTGATTCTTTTCTAATTTATATTCAGTCGCAAGGATTGTTTATTTATAAAAAATTAATAACTATTAAATGAGTAATGTAAAATTGTAAATAAATCTATAAACTTTGCCCTTTTGTGAAAGCATGGTAATTTTCTTAGTTTTGATGCAGTCCTTCCTCCTTGTTTATTGCTTTGTCCACGAAGAAATGCTAAATCTTCCATAAATCCCTTTTATTTATTATTTTCACAAATATCTTAATGTGAACCAAGAGGAACCAATGTTGTGTAATATACCATTGGGAAAATTCATTCTCAACCTAAAAGCTTAACTCATTGAGTGAGGGTGTGTCTATTGGTATATCTGTATGAATATATATTTTTAGCTATTTAATGTGGACTAAACTCAAAGCCTCATATGCCTTTTGACCTAAATATCAATTACACACGTAAAGGAGTGAAATCGGCAACAAAAATGATTGCCGGGGGTCAAATTTTTGGAGCCCACAATGCCTTAACATTTTTCTCCCTCATGTGAGACCACCCCCATCGACCCCCACTCTCAAACAAATGCATCATTAAGTTTTATGCACCAATACGCCCTCAATCATGTGGTTCTATTATGCAAGTCATTTGCACTTTGATTCTTTCTCAATTAGGGTGGAAGGGAGGCAATATGCATGGTAGCTACAAACCACTTAACCACAGTCAAACAATCTACTATGATACAGCTTGTTTGGGAGTAAGTCAAACGGGAACCACAGTTGAGCTATATTCATCAGTTGTCAAAATTGGCTTTGACCAAAAAGCTTAAGTCCATTGGTGAGGGATAAGCATTTTTCTACATCAAAATTTTTTCTCAAATATCTAATATAGGACTTAACCTAACACCTTACGTACCTTAACACTGATTCGATCCATGACTTATCCATTCATCACCTACATCACTCCATTTCTCACTTTCTCACGCTTCAACTCGCATATGACATTTAAGCCATTACAAGTTTGAGCTCCAAATAATGATACCTTGAAAAAAAAAAAATTCTAAACCATCACCAAAGGTTGCCCACATCCCTCTTCTCTTTTGTCTGAGGTTCACCAAAAGCTGAGCAATTTCTTGATTGCCTATTTTAAATAAGAATGGTTGACCAATTTAATTTAAGTTGGGCATTTTTCCTGAGTTTTTATTGTTGACACTGGCGACTCTTCATGTAAAAGCTAAAATAGAAAGCCACATATTCAATGCGTGACTTGTAATAATTAACCCAAACTCTTAATCATTGTGATATTGTTTTCTTTGGCCTAGTGCTTCATGATTTTGTTCTATTGATGAAACTTCTTAGGAGATTACTCATCCTAGGAGTGTTCCTATATACTAGCACACTTAACTTTGACTGTTAACCTCATTTTTGTATGAGGACACTATGACCAATCTAGACCCTAGGATTTATCAAGACCCTAGATCACTACAGGAAAATCACCGATTTCCGGCAGAATTTTCCGGCGGCTTTCCGGCGGTCACGTTTCCGGCGGCTTTCCGGCACTTTTCCGGCGGTTTTTTCTCACGTAATTTTCCGGCGGAATTTCCGGTGGCTCTTTCACGTTTTCGGCGGCTTTAAAAATTTTATTGAAAATGAATAAAAATTTTTACTATGTAAATAATTTAACAAAAATTAATTAAAACTTATATTAACTATTTAATTAATTTTCATTTTAAAATTATTTAGTTAGTTAATTGTTATTTTATATTAAATATTATTTTTTATTTTAAATTAATTAGTTTTATTTTTAAAAAAAATTAAATAATTAATTGCTTTTCGGTCCGAATATAGTTAAATAAATAATATTGACAAATGTAACGTATTTACATAATTGGCATTTCGGTCGGTCGGTTGAAATCAACACGGGAGATCCACGGTTCGAATCTCACCGCGCGCAGACGCGCGGAGCGGGCGCGGAGATCCAAATCAAGTCTAGACTTCAAACCTATCTAGACTTTAAACTTGTCCAGATCTCAATTCCAGTTTAAACTTTGATCCAGCCTCCAATGTAACTTTAATCCTATCCAATCATTTATGATCACTCAAATGATTATCAATGATTTGAATAATTCAAATTCAAGCATCTAAATCCAAAACCTAGTTCAAATCCAGATTTTCAGACTAAAATTCAAGGCTAAAGCCTTAGGTCCTAAGGTAGGTTTACACTATAAGACATCAACCTTCGAGAATCTAATCCCAATCTTCTAATAAAATCAACAATTCAAATTAAATCTCTTTCAAATCAAATTTAATCCCAACACTTAGGATAGGTTTGAGTGTTTCTAAAATGCTTTCAAAATCTCAAGACACCTACTTTTCCTCCTTTGACCTCAAGAAATAAGTGCTCCATTTTAATTCAATCCCTGTTGAATTTCTAATCTCGCTTCCTTTAACATCAAGCCTTGAAATCTCTAAATAAAATTTCTATCATTATTTTAATTGAGAGTATTCGTAGGAAACTATGAGGGCTTACGCTCGTAGGAGATTTAGTAACCCAGATCAATTTTCAAAACTTCAATTAATTGTCTTTGGGAAAATCAAACTCGACGATCATTATTGTCATATTCAAATGATCGATAATAGATGATATCCTCTTTTATCGGGAAGATATATCATTCTATTATCATGACTTTGATTATGAAATTAATGATCCCATATCCAGTTTATTATAGGCAAACACTCGATCCAACATTATTTTGATCCTTCGGGACCATATGTTGTCTTTCCTTGAGTTTGACTACGATAATCATGATAGATTCAAAGTTTTGTAATATAAACTCATTACGAAATATATATTCGCCTCCCGATGTGATATATCGTTCATAATGATGTATTCAATTCTAAAACTAAAATCCCAGAAATTAAATTCTCTCAAAGAAAATTAATTTTTCAAAACTTCAACACTTTTTCAATCACACATGCACCAAAAGACACTTAAATTTTTAAGAGTTTAGCTTATTTACATAAGGGGGTTCACAATCTCCCTACTTAGATAATTGATGCTCTCATTAGTTTCCTTAACCTAGAATCATCCATTAGAAATATAAGATTTTAAAGATAGAGTTTCCATTTTCCAGTTGGTGTATTGCTCCGATACCATTTGTAATTGTTCAAACTTTTAATTATTGAGATATTGTCCGATTTGACCTAATGCCTCATGATTTTTTCCTATTGATGTAATTTTCCTATATGTCACCCATCCTAGGATTGCTACTTTATGAACATGCTTAATTTTAAGAGTTCTTAATGAAACTCCGACCAATACATCAAAAGACATCTCGATTTTACTTAATGGGTTTCACAAGACTAGCCTTAAAACAATAAACTCCAAAACAAGCTCAATGAGGCTAAAGCAACTCTTGTAGTCATTCTTAGTTTTTATATATTAAATCAATTTGATCGGCCTAAGGAAAAATCTATTCTTCGTTGTGTCATTCTCACCCCACAATGAGACCTCTGCTAGTGAGCTTGCACTAACTCTAGTGTGATCCTAGTCACCTCTGATGTTGATAGAAGTTAATGGCTTATCCTAGGTAAATCATTTTTTGCATCAATTCAGTTTGAATTGGGTGTGGTTTAAAAACGCTGGAAGGGTTGTTTAGGAAAGGATAAAGTTATACTTTCAAATAAATATACACAGAAAATGTTTTTTTTTAATATATATATATACTGAATTTCAGGAACATATGAGAAGGACTTTATAAATTAAATCTAATCAATATATGATTGATGACGATAAAAAGATCAAAATAGTTCTTGAACAATTTATAGCGGGCCGTTTTGTCCCATATTATCTAATGCGTATTATTTGTCTCTTGATTGCTCAAATCTGATCCAAAGTAGTCACTCAACTCCTGAAATCCAATCCAAAATGATGAACTAGAGGGGTTCTTTTTTATCATATTTAAGGAGTGAAGGGACTAGATTGAAAACATTTATAGTTCGGGATTAAAACAGCGCCATACAAATAGTCCAAAGATCATTAGACTCCAAGGATTAGAAAGAAGAAGCATGCCTAAGTAACACAGATTCAGGCTAGGTTTGGGACAGCTTTAGACCATTATTTTTTTTTTTGCTTTCAAAAAATTTTTGTATTAAAAAACAACTTAACAAAGCAATAAGAAAGCCGTCCCAACCAAAGCCTAAATTTGTTCAAATTGATTTGTAAAAAGTATACTAACCACTTTCTACAACAACGAGTATAAATGAATGAAAAATGAGGATCCACAAAGTGGACTTATAATTCTTTGAATAAGGATAATGATGTCGATGATGATAACAAAAGTTATATGGGATGTGACCTACTAAAATTGATGTACAAACTATTGGGATAACACCACCAGTAATCACATGACTAATGTCTAATAACAACTTAATCAAATAATGATAAATTGTACTCAAAACATACTAAAAAGCTAAATTCTCATAACTAGACAGTGAATTCCTTCAGATGTATTGACTCCTTCAGCAATACTTCATCAAAGGCTAACATGTTGGCGGTGCGCAAATTTATAAGTTCAAGTATAGAATTTTTTTTTAACCCCTATTTGTTCATATACTTGGTCGTTGTACACTTCGTAGATATATCGGGGGTCCAAGGGAACAGTGCCTCATATCGGGGTTCGACCTATCTTTACTAAATCTAATCATCAGGGGCAGAACAAATTTTGGTTGTAAGAATATTTTTGGATTGTCTTTACTATTTCTTTTTGTATTTGGTTCATCGTTCCCTAACAATAACACATCTACAAAATGTGTTTAATTATGCTGAGAAAAACTTTTAGGGCGGCAATTGCCTAAAAACTCTTGTAATAAAGATTAAAAAATAGACGAAGAGGGATGAATTACCTAAAGAATCATATAATAAAGAATATTTTTTTAGGGGGGCAATTGCCCCTCGGGCTTAAGGTCGATCCGCCCCTGCTAATCATGCTAAAGGATTGCTACTTATTTTCCCTTTCCCTTTTGTTATTGTTGCTTGCAATTCATCATCATATGAACATCTCAGGGAAGACTACTTATCTGATGGGAAGGAGGAGCAGGTGGAAGAACAATAAATTTCTTCAGGACCTCTTTTGGGACAGAATTAAGCACCTGAATTTGCATTTTAATTACTGTGACCAATAAAATTCAGATTATGTTTGTATTTCTATGGATCAAATTTTACTTTGTTTGGTGGTACTGAGCTCTATGAATTTCCTTGAGAGAACTCTGATAGTTTTTGGAAAATTTTGTAGCAGGATATGCATGCTGATATAATTTTTTTATGGAGATGGATTTTGATATCATTACATTTGCTTTGAGATTAGTGTTAAATATAAAAAATTTGTTTTGCACTTATTTCAAAGCAAATTCAATACTTTTGAGGTCCATTATCCCAAAAAATTGTTCCAGGAAATTTTTTTCTATTTTAAAAAAATAATTTATAAAATGAATTATTATTTTATTCATTATGCCCTTAAAAAATATTTTCTTCCAAAAAAAAATTATTTCTTCATCTTTCATATTTAATTTTATTTTAATATAATCCATCTAACTTGATCAAGTTCTCAAAATCTCTTACAATAGCTATTAAAATGCAAAAAAATTTTGTTTTTTTTTTCTTCTTTAGAATCAAGTTCAGTAACCTTTAGTTAATTGTAAAAAATACAAGATAGTGTTAATTAGTCCTTAATCACTTTCCTTTGGTTAATTAACTAAGCACCATGTTAATTAATTACCCTTTTAATCATGATTAAATATGATTGTTGCTTGCTTCTTACCATTATTACAGAAAAGAAGCCCTAAATATTCCATCAACATGTAAATAATCCTTTATTAAAACTTTAATTAATTTATTTTATTCTTCTAATCCTTAAACCAATTGCTTTATAAGCTGAAAAATTTTGGCTTCTTCTTTACGTCAAAGTATTTATTAACTTCATTGGTAAAGTAGCTATACCAAATACATATTAAAAGCAATGTTGGTGGAAAAGATTAATCATTTTGGAATATTGCTTTCATCTAATTTCATGATATATATATATATATAAGAGAGAGAGATAGATAGAGAGAGAGAGAGAGAGAGAGAGAGAGAGAGAGAGAGAAGTTGAGATGTCAAGAAATACAAAGAGGTAGATATTGGAGTTTCAACTATCATGCTAAATAATTGGCATGACATTAGTTTAAATTTGAAGCTATTAAGGGAGAATATCACATAACATTTATGTACATATCTCTCTTTTAAATCATCAATGAAGAAAAGAAGAACCCCCGCCATGAACACCAAAGTTAGGGATCAAATGAGGAGAACTTGCTCTATGATTCCCTCCTTGATTGTATGAGATAAGCGAAGAACTATAGTAGTCGACAATGCATGCTTCTTTCAAAATTGAGCTATCTTGATCTCCATTGACACCTTTAGACTTCATCTTAGTTGTTGAATCTTTGGTTGTCATAATAGTTGAGCCACACTGTCTTGGTTGTGTCTGATAGAATACTTTCGATACAACGAGCTCTCCATCTTTCTCTTCTTCATTAGAACCCAAATGATATTGATGCATGACCCAATTAGTTTTTTCGGGCTTTCTTTGCTTACCATAGTTTGTGTAGAGAACAAGTATCTTCTTGTAGCCTTTGACCTTGCCATTTATAAAGACAGGTCTTGTCTTGCCAGTTTTATGCCATCGGGTTTCACCACCGTGATCGTCGGTGTGAACTTTTCTTCTTTTTCTTGTGCCAGTGGTGTAGGCCTTGGAAGGTCGGTGGAAGAAGTGGCGAATGAGGCCATCTCTAGTTACTCCTACAAATAAGAAAAAAATTGTTATATTCTAATATGGAAAAGTTATATTATGATATGTTGATTTAGCTTCATCAATAAATTAAATATTGCTTCTCATCAAAGCAAGTAAATGAAAAAAAATTGTTGTTTAGAGTTCATAGATCTATATGTTACAAGGAAAAAAAGTTGTCAACAAGCAAATTTATTTTAAATGTTCGAAACTTTTTAAGTTAGAGGTTCAAAAGTAGTATGTTTGAATTGGTAGTGTTGGTACGTAGATGCTCTAGATCTTAATTTTAATTATGTCTCACACACATAAGAGTTTTAATAGGGTCTTTGAATGATTTTATCCCTTTTATTTGAGATGAAAGATGAGAATTCAAAATAGAAGAGCCCTTCATCTAGCTTTCTTGGGAGGCATCTATAGCTATTTTGGTACTTGAGTGAAACTACAATACATATGTGCGATACATATATTAAGAGTATTTTAATCCTCTGGTGTACATAAAGGTGGAATGGTAAGTTATGATCATTGAGATTCTTGAGATTGATGGAGGCTTCAGGCTTTATGATTGGTGATGTTAAAAATCTAACTTGAATGGTTGAATATATGCTTATGTTTTTGATATTGATGCCAAAGTTATATCAAATAAATAGAAAATGATATGCTCAAATCCAAAGATTTGTGTCAACAATCATGTGCTAGCTTCATCGAGGTCAACAACTAGGTCAAAACATATCTTAATATGATCAAACAATTGAATAGTTAGAAAGGCTATTGTACTATTTGATCCTTGTTGTATGAAGATCATTGAAAGTATGAATATTGATGTCATTGATCAAATGATTATAATTGATTCAAGGGTTATCTTTTTTATTCTCTTATAAAAAGTATAAAAATAATCCTTTTTCTACTTAAATTAGATAATTGTATACATAATTGCTTACTTCATTTAATTTTCATGGAGATTTAACACATTATTCTTAGAAAATAATGACAATTTTGAATGCCCTTTTACGTTTATTTCGAGCAAGGCTAAAGGAATATTGATGTTTTTTCAAAGATGAGGAAGAGGTAGATATCTCAAGTGTCAAGTTTTTAGTCTTTGATTAGAATTAGAATCCTGAAGTCTAGATTATTGAAGATGTTAATGAAACTAAGGCCTCTAAGATTATTCCTAGAGAGAATAACTTTGAGATTTTGCTTCTCTTCATGAAGTTCTTTTTTACATAACACCTAAACCATGCACTTAAGAAAGAGGATGATGATGATAATCAAGAATCTTATTCTACCATTCCTTCTAGAAGATCTATATAACATATGGATGTTGGTCACTAGATTTATTAGTAAGTTTATGAGTAGAAGAGTTCTCAGGAGAAGCATGTTGTGGAATGGAATAGACTCCTTCAGTTTAAGAATTTTACTAGATTGATCATTTTTAACAACTGAAGGTGACTGCATTTTATGTTATACCTCTAACATAAGAGATTATTAATTTTTATATTTCTACTACCCTTAGTGGTTTTTATTTTAAGGGCATTGGTGAAATTAGTTATAGGTTGAATGAATTAAGATGAGGCTTTGAATATCCAAAGTGATAAAATACATGTTTCAAACAAAAAAATGGAGATTTATGAGTCCAATTTTAAAGATGTTAAGAAGTAACTCTCTACTCAACACAAAGTTGAGTAATTATTTATTTGACAATAGGCACACATTTAGTCATATATTGAAGAAAAGCTAATACAAAAACACCTAAAGTAGTTCAATTTTTTTTAATAAAGTGAATAATGTTACCTAAAGATGGACTCTCTTATGCTTATATATGGATCAGTTTACTGCCTTGACATCTATAACTCCATCTTAGGGCATAAATTAGATTAAGACCTTGGCAAGCACTTCAACAAGCACATCTCCATGTTGGGTTTGGGACCCATGTTCATTTTGAACTTTGAAGCGCATATCCCTTAGTATTATTCTTGATTTTTCTTCAAATGATTAAGTGTGTTCCTAATAGTGAGATGAAGTTTCTTCTATTCCCTTTCATTTCTTAGCAAAGTTTAAAGGTGCCTTAAATCTAATACTTTATTCTTATTATTTAGACCTAGTGCTCTTAATGATTTTCTTAATGCTTACAAGAAGATTTTCTAAGCATCATATATACATGGAGTACCTAGCTAGGAGATCTCTAATGTTCTTTAGTGACTAAACTTGCAGGTGAATAAGAAATAGCATTAATTCAATGAAATTTCCTCCTTGGGAAGGAAGAGTGAGAACATAGAGAAGAGAAGAGCTTTTGACCTTGGCCTTATGAGATGTATTTATAGAAAATTGAATGAAGGATATTTTGGTACCTTACAGAAGCATGTGGTGGATATATGAGCCATGTCATTTCAACAATCGAGGTGTTTTGGTCCTTCAATTCAGTTAACTAAAGGGTGGAATACTAATGCAACAACCTAAGCTTTAACTATCGATATATTGTCTACTTTGGCTTAAGGACCTCACAGTTTTATCTTGTTAGTGTAACTACCCTATTGATGCAACTTTTCTCAGAAGGTAACCAATCCCAAGATTTTTCGAGATGAGCACGCTTAACTATAGAGTTTCTTAATAAAATTCTAATCATTATACAAAAAGGCACCTTGATGTTGAAGAGTTTAGATTCTTCTTACTTAAGAGGTTTCACAATCTTAAATTACTGACGCCCTCGTCAGTATCCTTATCCCAAAATCATCCACTTGGAAGATAAGATTCTATAGGTGGCCCCTACAACTTTTAGTGACGACTCTTACCACGTAGTAGTTTGTCCCATATAGGGTTCAATAGGTAGCTCCCATGACATAGCACTTTGTCTTATATGATACTTAATTCCCATCTTCCAGATGGTATATTGCTAGCTCTAATACCATTTGCAACAACTCAAACTCTTAATAATCGGGATATTGTCTGCTTTGACGTCCTAAAAGCCTCACGATTTTTTTTTTCCAATTTTTGTAACTTCATAGAAGGTCACCAACCATTCTATTTTTTTATGATGAGCACACTTAACTACAAAATTTCTTACTCAAATTCTAACCAATACATCAAAAGACGCTTCAATGTTTAAGAGATTAACTTCTTTTTACTTAAAGGGTTTCGTAACTAAGTTATACTATTAGAGATAATGAATGGATCAATGAATGTAATAATATTCAAGGTTAATGTTGTTAGACATCTAATTAATAGGATGATCATATTTATGTTGGCTTTTAAATTAATGATAATGGTGCCTAGAATTAGATAGATATATTTACGTTAGAAGCTAGCTCGAGGTTTTTGATGAATGTGCATTTTTTTAAGATTCGATGGGTAGGTTGACACAAGACTTGATATGCTCAAATAATAGATAAACTAAAATGACTATCATACTAATATAATTTGTGGTAAAAATATCATTGGTGCATAAATCTTGATATTATTGACCTAGTGGTCACATTTACTTAATTAAGTGGCAATTTTTTAAGGTTAATTACATCAATATTAAATTGCTAACATGTAATTACTTATTGGTAATCAATAATATATATGAATTTCATGCTTAAGAGACTTTCCTCTTGTGAAGCATGTGTATTACTATAGCTGACCAACTTTCTCATGTTAGATGCAATTCTTTTACAAGAAATGTTATTTCTAATGTACTATTAATTAGTTGATTCAGAACTAAATATCAGTTAAGAAAAGTTTTCACCATAGTGTATTAATTTGACTAAGCATTAGAATTGTTGATAGATCAACAACTAATAATTTTTAAGAACTCAGATTGCTTTCTAAACATCATAATATTTTCACCAACATGAGAGTGTTGGTGAATTTTCTCTCTCTCTCTCTCTCTCTCTCTCTCTCTCTGAATTTTTTAAATCATATGTAGGATTGTATTAACAATATAATTAGAATAAATTACTTTTATCTAACAAGAGAATGCAACAACATGAAAATTTTAATAATAAAGGAATAATGATTCTCCTCTAAGAGGTTTACATCTAATGCCTTTTATATTTGCCTAATTTTTATTATTTATATATTAAATTGATATTAATATATATTTACATAAAATCTTGATATTTGCATATCAAAAAGAACTCTAACTCAATCAATTTCTTCCCCAATTCTTCTTACTTATAATCTTCTTTGAACTAAATATTCACCAACTTCTTCATGTAATTCAATCTATATTTTTTCTTATATTCCTCTTCTTCATAACTATCATTATATATGTATATTTATATTTATATAAAATTTACCAGGGAGTTTTTCAGGGTGGGTGTAGCAAATTCCATTCTCTCCATCAATGGTAGGAATGAATTCATCAATAAGGGGATGAAGCTTCTGCAAATCAGGCCTTGCCTTCCCTTCCAAATGCTCTAAAAGCTCCTGGTCCGTCGGATCAAACTTAACTCCGGCCGGCAGCCCTGGCAGATCTTGAATTGCACTTCCAACCTGACTTATGATCACTAATTCATTGAGAATTTAATGGAAGCAAATAAATATATAACATAAGATTTTATAATCCTCTTTGAGATTTAGGTTTAGCTTGGGACGGTTTTATTACTGCTTTCTAAAGCAGTTTTTCATTATAAGTTTTTTTGTACTATAAAGCTACTTTAGAAAGCGGTAAAAAAACCGTCACAAATGAAGCCTTACATATGATAATCTTAGAAATGAAGATAGTTTATGCAAGATTTGAATGTTGCATTTGCATTTTCTTCTTCACATATATAGGCATGTATATACAAGCACCTGATCATCAAGATGAACGCGATGCCCACAAGAAGAACATATCCTAGCGATCATGGGCGATGAGGAGGACTTGTCGCCGTGGGCTGGACGGTCATGATCGTCGTCGTCATCGTTGCAGCCGCTGCACCATGTCATCTTCTTCTTCACTTCCACAAGTTCTCATGAGCAAGCCCACTGGGGGGCTGAGGAACTTTTCCCCAAGAGCTAATTATTCCTTTCTCTATAGGAGAGACAAAAGGAATAAGAAAGGAGGAGGACTAGAAGAGGAAAAGAAAAGGAGAGAGCCAAGGGGGGGAAAAAGGAGAAGAGAAGAGATTTGGTGGTTGGCTTCTCTCTCTTCCTTTCCTTCTCTCTTTATTTTTTCTATACTTATTACTTCTGCTTAGCTATGGTAAGGCCAGTATTGGATTCTCTCTCTATCTTTTTTTGCACCAAAGGCAGAGGGTGTTAAGAGCTCTTTGGTAGGTGCAGATAGCACTGCTGACAACCAATCAGAAAAGTAATTATACACATATTGATTGATTGTTCATATATACGTTATCTCTGCATCTAACAATTTCACCATTGATAATGAAACTAATAGGAGAGAGAGAGAGAGAGAGAGAGAGAGAGAGAGAGAGAGAGAGAGAGAGAGAGATGGATGAAGTTAGACTTTGGGAATATTAATGGATTGCTTGGTGGTTAAGATTGGTGATGCTATTGGTGCAGGTGGTTGAAACCATGTAAACTTACTTGGAATGCCGGGATGCTCTCTCCTTATTTTTCAAGCTTCGAGTTTAAAAAACTCTATATAGAAAGAGAGAGAGAGAGGAATAGAAGAGAGAGAGAGAGAGAGAGAGAGAGAGAGAGAGAGAGAGAGAGAGCATAAAAGTAGAGGGAGGGTGGAGTGGAGACGAGGCAACCTATACATATTAGACGTTTTACTGCCAATGAGAGAGATAGGTAGATTGAAAGAAATGCTGGAGAGAGAGAGAGAGAGAGAGAGAGAGAGAGAGAGAGAGATCTTTTAGCTCCAAGGTCGCCCTAGAGTGCCTTGGAAGAGATACTGAACAATAGAAATCTTAACCATATTGTCGCGAAGCAAAGCTTTTTTTTTTTTTATTCTTTACTGTAAATATCATATCGATCTCTTTTTTAAGAGTTATAAGCCAAATTATTTCAGCATAAATATTTCTTATATTATTTTTTTCTGATTAAAAATTTTTGGATCATTTAATTTATCTTCTCATTCTATTTTGGTATATCACATTTTATTTATATATATATGTTTATTTTTTATTTTTTTAATAAATTTGTGGCCAAAATAATCAGTGTCACTGAATAAATATCCAAAAAAATATATTTTTTTATCTTTGTAATTTTATATTTTTTTTATTTACAATTGGTTCAAATATCATTATTAATTAAGGCATTTGAAATAATATTGTAATTGTAATTTATAAAGATTCTTAAAGGCTTAATCTAATCTAATATAATATTTAATTTTTTAAATAAAATATTAATGATGTATATATACTTATGATATATTTTACTGTTACATGTAAAATGTAAATATTTTCAATGCCAAATTTTATGTTGCATCTCATATAAAGTAGCAAATATCTCATATTTTTAGTGTCATATTATATTAAAATGATGTTGTATATTTGTACATGCATATCTCTATAATCCATATATATTTGACGTATTTGATGTCAAGAGAGACATCTGAGATAATTAGGGCATCTTCAACCGAACTCCAAAAGCTTGAATGGCGTTGTTGCAGAGCTCTAGCGGAACGGTAAAACTTCCGCTATTTGCTTGCGGATGAACAGTGGGACACCAATATTGACGTTGCACTGTTCATCTCCATTATTTTTCTGTCTCTATCAAACTTACCAAAGAAACGCGCGAAAAGAAGAAAGAACTACTTTATCTTCGCAAAATTGGAGTTCAATTAGATGAATTACGACATTTTTTTAATTTCACGCATTTTGAAGTGAAAAATGAGATTTTTGACTGGAGATGATCTTACAATTCCCTAGAGGGGAACTTGTAGTCCGAAGGGAATGTGCAGCTATTGGCCCTATCCCGTGCATTCATAGCTACTCTCTCCCATGATGGGATCATATCATGAAGACTCACCTTAGTAGTAGTTATAGGGGTGTCAATTCGTGTTGATGGGTTGGGTTCGGGTCGAACACGAGTTGACATGGATCGAAGCGGATCAACTCGAACTCGACCCGTTTTTTTGCAAATGGGTTAAACATTTCAACCCGGACCCGATCCGTACGGGTTGTCGGGTTGACCCGACTCCACCCGGATTTAATAGATTTGGATGAAGAAGCACTAGCTAAGCCCTTGAGCCAGTCCACGAGTGCGGGTTGCTCCATAGCGGCAGCAACGACGGAACCGCGGAAGGAGTCTGCAGGACCGCGAGTGCAGGCAAAGAGAATATTAGATGAGTACAATAATGGAGCCAAAAAAAATCATTAGCAAGGCATATATAAACTAATTTTATATTTATAATGTGCGTAAATTAAATTTTTACTATTAGAAACTTCAAATTTCATAGCATAAACTTATTAATACATCTCTATTATATGCAAAAATATATTAAAAATCTTAAAAGGGAGGGGCCATATGCCCTCTCATGCTTCCCCTTAAATCCACCCTCAAAAAATTCATACATAATAATATTATTCTCTTAAACCAATAGGCCAAATCTTGTCCATTCAAATAGGACAAGCATTTACTTATTTTTTTATAGGATGAAAAAATATATTTAATACATAATATTTAATTTCAAATATATGTATATTTTGGGTCTTAAATATAAATATGTTAATTCAGACGAGAAGAGAAAACAAATGGATCATGATCTAATTTTTTCGTGCTATGAATCAATTGGAAGAACTTCGCCGCAGCATACTCAAATTCAAACCTTTACATGATTTTTGTCCAACTATTTTGTTATGATATCTCTTAAGTTTCTTAAAAACTTAGGTTTCCTTAGGGATGACTTTCTTATTGCTTCTTAAAGCTGTTTTTTAGTATTAAAATTAATTTTTTTGATACTAGAAATCTGCTTTAAGAAGCAATAAGAAAATCATCCCAAACGAAGCTTTAATATTTGGAAAAGATATGGCCGAGCATCATCACCATCATCCAAACATTATGTGGTTGGCCTCCTCGCTTCAAATTCAAGTTGGTCCAACCAAACAATATGTGGCTTAAGATTTCATCCACAATAGAAGTCAAATTATACAAAATAAATAGGTTGTTAAAACCTTTCAAACCAAAATCCAAGCAAGGAGGTGGTGGTTGCCTCTCTCTCTTTTGGATTTGAATTTTAGCATGTTTGTAAAGCATAGCTCATATGTGAAAGGAAAAAAATGTGAGAGAATGAGTAAGCCTTTCAATCACATGCTCTCTCTCTCTCTCTCTCTCTCTCTCTCTCTCTCTCTCTCTCTCTCTCTCTCTCTCTCCATCTTCTCTACCTTTAATTGGAAATCAATTTCATAGAAATGTAGATTTTTTTTTCATGTTTTTTTTTTTAAGAGAACATAATAGAAATTATGAGCTTCTCCAAAGGGATATCCTCAGATCCATCACATCAAAGGTACATGATAAATTTCACTAATCTCAAAGCAAATCAAATGGTTTCAAACCCATCTCTTTACTTTATGGCAATGATATGAATATTTAGAATAATGACAAACATGAACATAAGTTAGTTGCTTCATTGATTAACATGGTGGAATAAAGAGAAAATTGTTAGAATATTCTGATCTAGATTATATAAAGATGAACTTAAAACTATTGAATTTACTTTGAGATTAGCAATGCATATGAAGAATTTGTTTTGCATCAATCTTAAAGCAAAAAAACTAATGATTTTCATTCTCATCATTATGCGATTTGTTTTAGCATAACCCAATACAATTTTTATTAAGAAATATAGGCTGTAGAACACCAAATCTCCCAACTCTTTTCTTTAGATAATGCTCTAATTATAGGCTCTTTAGATGCAGTCATGAACAGTACAGTTTTTTGCAGTCTCATTTCTATGGGTTTTTGGGAGCAATGCAATCATATTGGTATGGAGAGAAGTGAACATTTTTAAAAGCAGACAAAAATTGTATAAAATAAGTTTTTCTTTCCTAAATATGCTGCAAATCCCATCAGATCTCACTAATAAATAGGTTTATGAATGTTAAACAAAAGAAACGAGAAGTAATACCGTATGGTAAGTTATGGGTATCAAAATGAGTTTTTGGGTCAGATTTGGGTCGAATCCGGAATTAGCCCAGGTCCAAACTGGTTGACCCGAACCTGACCCGGTTTTGTATAAACGGGTCGGAAATTCAGACCCAAACTTGACTCACGCAAGCTACTAAGCTAACTCGCTCGACCTGCAAACCTTACCGGACGTGATTGTCTGTGAGCACGAGAGCCCTCCTCTTCCTGAGATTGCACGGGATCGATCGATGTCTCAACAGTGGAGGATGACGACATGATCTTCGGCCCCGTCACGACGATGGAGGATGGCGACAAAAATTGCAAGATTGGCTACATGCACATGATCATTTTGTCGTCGGCCTGCCGAAGGTGACCCATGAGCTTCTCCTGGAGCTCCGCCAACCCGGCAGGCACCATCCTCGTCCATGTAGCCAATCTTCAGATCCCCTATCCGTGAAAATCGTCAGGAACAATCCCTCGTCGGCGACGACGACAGCGTTGATCCTGCTCTCCAGCTACTCCCTCTCTGCTCCCATCTACGTCGTCATACCGGAAGAATCCCTCGCTAAGCTGCGACAACCACCATGTCGAGACCGTCGAGGATTAACCAACCATGTGAAGGGCCGAAGGGGAAAGGGCAATCCCGTTTCCGGGTCAATTCGAGTTGTGCACGGGTTTTTGGGTCCCGAACCCAACCCGATTTTATAAATGGGTTTTAATCTCAAACATGAACCTAATCCGCATGACAAATGGGTTGATCTGAACCCGAAATTTTCCGGGTCGGATCAAATATTGGAGAGATTATTGGGTTCGGACACTGAACACAGCTTATCATTCGGTACTTCACAGTACCGAGTAATACTGAACTCAGTACTGTGAAGTACCGAGCTCAGTACCAAGTGATGTGGCGCATTTTCATTGGGCTCCAGACGTCGTCTGGTGTCCAAACCCAATAATTTCCCCAAATATTGACACCTCTATGATAAGCCAAGTTACTGTTCATCTACTCTTACGGTAAATGAAGTAATTTTTATAGCAAGCAATGGTTTTGGCAAGATGAAGGACATACATTAGTTGGTCCAGAAACAGCAAATATTCTCCTGTTAAAGAAATTTGCAAGCAATACTAACAATAAGAAAATTTCCAAAAACTTATTTGAGGGGAAAATTAACATGAGGATGCGTTCACAAATCTCCATAAATAGGGTTGTCAAAATAGGACAATGTTATTTGTAGCTCGTTTTAGAAGGAAAACACAAACAAAACTTAGTTCGGTCATATTTAGCTCATTGTTAGCCCAAAATAATATATGTACATAAATAGTTTCACCATAGTCAGCTTTATATTGGCTCGAAGCTATATTATAGCAAATAAGTAGAATGATTCTATAATGTTCCGCTTGTTATTTATTTATTTTTTTTTACTTGTTCAAAATTAGTGGTGTCAATTCGGGTCAGCGGGTCGGGTTCGGGTCGAACCTGGAACTGACCCGGCACTGTTCGGGTCAACCCGAACCCGACCCGTTTTTAAAAACGGGTCAGGTTTCTGGACCCGAACCCGACCCGATTTGGGTCCGGGTCAACCCGACCCGACACGAATGACCCGAAGTTGACCTAAAATTGCTAATTTTCGGGTCAAAATCGGGTCAATATTCGATTTTCGGGTCAAAATCGGGTCAAAAACGGGTCAATCTCGGATTTTCAGGTCAAATATGAGTTTTCGTGTCACTTTCGGGTCAATTTCGGGTTGCTGGGTCAACCCGAACCAGACCCGATTTTTAAAACGGGTTGATTTGTTCAACCCGAACCTGACCCGTTTCGAGTTTGGGTTGACCCGAACCCGGATTTTTCCGGGTCGGGTTCGGGTCGTGTTTCGGGTCGTGTCAAAAATTGACAGCTCTACTCAAAATCCTCCAAATAGCAAGCATCTTTCATATACTTTCACATAGAGTTTCAAGTCGAAGTGATCATATCAAGGACTTAAAAGTTTCCATTATGTACGTACAATATCCGAGCCAAAGAAATTAGAGAGATTTACATACATACATGCCACATAATTTATATATAGTTACGTATATAACACCTAAATCTTTATATTTGTTATGTGTACAATCTAATTGTGTTGATCAATAAGGTAATTCTGTTGTCTCAGACCTCAAGTTTGTCGTGCTTGTCGAGGGTGCAGGGAGTTTACCCCTTGCTTGGGTTCGGGTGTTTTTCACTTGAACTTTTTTTTTCTTACGACGCCCCGGCGCTGTGTACCAGAGAGCTTCGGCGCTATGTTCCCGAGTGCCCCAGTGATGATCGACAAAAGCAGAGCGTCACAGCGCTTTGGATTCGACGCAGCAACACTACGAGTTCGGCGTCGTAGCGCTGCAAGTTTGAGTGCCTCAGCGTCGTCAGACATAGGCATTAGCTCCGCCTCAGAGTCCCAAACTGGCGTTGCGAGATTATTTGTACTGTTTTATTTCTTGTTCTGAAGGGTTGCATCCCTCGGAGTTATTTACATGGCTTTATCTTGTATTTTGTGAGTGTACATATTGAAAACGATGCATGAAAGAAGAGAAGCAAGGCAAGAGTGAGAGCGAAGAGAAATATGTACTTATTTTTCCCAATTTTCATATTGGATTTTTTGGTGTGGTATGGCTTTGTGGTTAAAATTTCCATATTTGAGTTTTTTCATGTTAAATCCTAGTGTCCTTTATTTTCCCCCGCTTTTACTTTCTTGCTTGTTTCTTTATTGTGATGTTTAATCCTCCTCATCCCCAACAATATTTACTTAAGTAGCACTCTAAATTCTAAATCACATAAAAATACCAATAATATTAACTTATCTAAATTGAAATATATCTTTTCATACATATATTTTGATATGATTTAGAAACTACGGTAATATGTGAGCCAATATAAAGATTTAGGTATTAGCTATGTAAATATATCAGAATTCAATGATATGCATGTAAATACACAAATATTAATGAGTAACACAAATAAAATAATTTCATCGTGATGTAGAACTATATGTGTAAGTGGAGATTTGCACAAAAGGATTTCAAGAGCAACTTTAGATTCTCGTTAAAGTGATTAAAACAACAATACAAAACAATTAAGTAGTTATTTCGCTTTGGCTAAACTACTCAAGAGACTAAGCTAGATCAAAACACATATCCCAAGGGTGGCCCATGAGCTTCTCCTGGAACTCCGCCAACCCGCTAGGCACCATCCTCGTCCATGTAGCCAATCTTTGGATCGCCTCTCCGTGAAAATCGCCGGAAACAATCCCTTATCGGCGACGGCATCGCTGATCCATGCTCTCCGGCTACTCCCTCTCCGCTCCCATCTACACCATCATACCGAAGCAATCCCTTGCTGAGGCGCGACAACCACCATGCCGAGACCGCCGAGGACTAAACAACCATGTGAAGGTCTGAAGGGGAAATGACAATTGCGTTTCCGAGTCAATTCGAATTGCACGCGGGTTTCCGGTTCAACTCGAACTAGACCCGATTTTATAAATAGGTCTGGATCTCAAACCCGAACTCAGACCCGTATGACAAACGGGTTGACTCAAACCCAAAATTTTTTGGGTCGGATCCGGGCTGGATTAAATATTGACACCCCTATAGTAAGCCAAGTTACTGTTCATCTAACTGAAAATGAAGAGATTTTATAACAAGCAATAATATGGCGAGATGAAGGATATACATTAGTTGGTCAAGAAACCACAAATATTCTCCTGTTAAAGAAATTTACAAGTATTACTAAACGATAAGAAAATTTCCAAAAACTTATTTCAGGGGAAAATTAACATGAGGATGTGTTCACAACTCTCCATGAATAGGGTTGTCAAAAAAGGACAAGTTATTTGTAGCTCGTTTTAGAAGGCAAACACAAACAAAACTTAATTCGGTCATATTTAGCTCGTTAGCCCAAAATAATATATGTGCATACATAGTTTGACCATAGTCAGCTTGATATTGGCTCGAAACTATATATAGCAAATACGTAGAATGTTTCTATAATGTTCAGCTTGTTATTTATTTATTTTTACTTGCTCAAAATCCTCCAAATACCAACTAAGCATCTTTCATATGGTTTCACATAGAGTTTCAAATCGAAGTGATCATATTAAGAACTTCAAAGTTTCCATTATGTACAATATCTGAGCCAAAATAAATAGAGAGATTTACATACATGCCACATAATTCATATATAATTACGTATATAACACCTAAATCTTTATATTTAGTATGTATGCAATCTGATTGTATTAATCAATCAGGTTATTCTGTTATCTCAGACCTCAAGTTTGTCGTGCTTGTCGGGAGTTATTTATTTGTCTAAGACCTCAAGTTTGTCGTACTTGTCGGGGGGCGGCGAGTTTAACCCTTGCTTGGGTACGGATGCTTTGCACTGGAATTTTTTTTCCAGTTCAACGCTCCAGTGTTGTGTACCTGAGTGCTCAGGCGTTGTGTTCTTTAGCACCCAAGCGCTGATCGACAAAGAGAAGAGCGTCACAGTGCTATGAATTCGGCGCAGTAGCACTACAAGTTCGGTGTCGTAACGCTGCGAGTTTGAGTGCCTTAGCATTGTCAGACAGAGGCATGAGCGCCGCAGGACCCCAAATTGGAGCTGCGAGACTGACTGGACGGTTTTCTTTCTCGTTTTTTCTGAAGGGTTGCATCCTTTGGTGTTATTTACTTGATTTTCTCTTGTATTTTATGAGTGTAGACATTGAAAATGGTACATGTGAGAAGAGAAGCAAGAAGAGAGTGAGAGAGAAGAGGGATATGTACTTATTTCTCCCAATTTTCATAATGAATTTTTTGGTGTGGTATGACTCTTTGGTTTTTTTCCTTATTTTGGATTTTTTCCTGTTAAATCCTGGTGTTCTTTATTTTCCGCAGCTTTTTCTTTCTTGCTTGTTTCGACAATGTGGTGTTTACCACTCATCCCCAACAATATTTACTTAAGTAGCACTCTAAATTCTAAATCAAATAAAAAATACCACTAATATTAACTTATCTAAATTGAATTATATCTTTTCATACATATATTTTGATATGATTTAGAAACCAGGGTATTATGTAAACCAATATAAAGATTTAGGTATTAGATATGTAAATACATAAGAATTAAATGATATGCATATAAAAACACAAATATTAATGAATGAAACCAAATTTTACTGATTGGTATATATATCATTAATCTCAACTCAAATAAAATAATTTCATCGTCTATCCTAATCAAAATTATATCAGGATATGCTAACACAACTTTTTTTGTATGCCAAACTAAGCATAACCATAATTTTGATTACCTTCAGAGGCTCCATGATCTCCAACTCCACAGACCAGTTTATCCCACATCAACTCAGCTTCTTCCCTAACCTTTCTCGAAGCCCATAATACATCCAGAATTGAACACCATGAAGTATGATCAGGAATGCACCCATCAATCATCATCTCATCAACAATGCTTGAAGCCTTCTGAACATCCCCTTTCTTGCAGGACAACTCCAGAAGAAGACTATATGTCTCAGGCTCAACTGAAATTCCCCGATTCCTCGACGAAAGGTAAACCTGAAAAGCTCGAATTATCTCCCCTGAGCTACAAAGCCCTCTTATCACCATATTGTGAATCCTAACATGAAGGCACCAAGTTAATCTGTTTGGCACAATTCCACTAAGAACCATCTCATCCAAATAGTTTGCAGCTTCCTGATATCTGTTAGATGCACAGAACCTTTTGATAATCTTCCCAAACAGTCCAGCATCTGGCTTTCTCCCATGGAGCCTCATCTTATCGAAAACCTCTAATGCTTCTCGGAGTTTTTCTTCGCCGCATAAACCATTGATAAGAGCAGTATAGGTGACAACATTTGGCAAGCATCCCTGTTTCCTCATCTGCTCTAACAACTCCATTGCCTCCATTGCTCGGCCACCTTTACAGAGTCCATCAATTAATGAGCTATAGGTGACCACATTGGGCTTAACCCCTTTCTTACACATCTCATCAAACACCTTGAGAGCATGTTCGAACTGGCCAGACCTGCACAAACCATGCATCAAAGAAGTAAAAGTGATTACCGTGGGTGAAAGCCCATGTTGCGGCATTTCATCAAACAGCTTACATGCATCATCAACTCTTCCATGCTGGCAAAGCCCGTCGATTAAAGTGCTGTAAGTGCAGGCGTCCGGCGGGCATCCTCGGTCTGGCATTTGATGGAATATGCGGAATGCGGCCTCAATGACGCCGGAGGAGCAAAGGGCCTTGATGAGGATATTGAAAGACGAAACAGTGAAGGGGACACCGCTCACCTTCATCTCGTTGAAGAGGGTTTTGGCAAGGGAAAGATGGTTGTTTGCAACGAGAGCGGCGAGGACGGCGTTGTAGGAGCGGTGGGAAGGGCGAAGGAGGAAGTCGGAGGTCATGCGACGGAAGAGACGAAGGGCGTCGAGAGGGAGGTGGGCGCGGGAGTAAGCGCGGATGAGGGGGAGGAAGGAGGGTTCCGCAGGAGGGTCACCTAGCTCGGAGAAGGCACGGGATAGGAGGGATTCAGCGGGACGGTGAAGGCCCGAGGCGGCGAGGCGGGTGGCCATAAGTGCAAAGGTTGAATGGTCATGGCGGTAGCCGGAGGAATACTCGTTGGAGGCGGATTCGAAGATGAGCAGAGCTTTCTGTATGTCACGCTCGGAGCGGATTAACTGGAGGACGTGGGAAGGTGCCGGCGGCGCCGTCCACTTGATTGCCGGAGCTTTGGAGGAGACCATAGGCGTGAAACGGGGTGGGGGATAGAGTGAAAATCGACGGACAAATTTTAAAAACAGCATCTTTTTTTTTTAATTATTAGAATAAAACGGGGGAAAAAAATTAAAATTAAAAAACGAATGCAATGTAAAGAATTATCTTGATCTTATTTTGATGAGTATAAAATAATTTCACCTAATTAATTTTTTATTTGGCTTAAAAAAATAAATGAAATGTAAAGCTTAAAAATTACGATCAACAGCAGGTGATAGCAGCGATTATTGAGGATGACAATAACGATGGTGACCTGAGGGTGGCAATTGGCAATGGCCGCCAACAGTGGGTGATGGCAGCGACGGCTGAGGGTGGCGACATCAATGGTGGTCGGAGGGTGTCGGTCGGCAATAACTACTAGCGGGTGGAGGAGGTGGCCACCGACTATAAGGTGGGTGGATTGTCAAGCAAATTTTTGTAGGTGTAAAGCTTTATCGCAAATTTGTTTTACCTCAAAAATGAAATAAAATGATTTGCACTTAATTTATTTTGGTTCAAATTCTTTTTTCATCCAACTAAACACCAAAATTGTTAAAACTCATTCTTTTGGAATACTTGGGAGCCTAAAGTACTCCAACCAAACATCCTCATGGAGCGAGTAAAGTATTGATGATATTAGGCTCTCATATGTTATGTAGCCATATAGGACACCTTTTTGGAGAGTTTCATTTTTGTAGTCTTAGCTTTTATTTTTTGTTGCACTTTGGATGGACCAATGCTATTGTATATAAACATCAGATTATACATATATTTTTATATATTTTTAGATGATATTTAGAAAATTTATTTATGAGATTTTGTCTTTCTTTTTATACTGTATTCCATAAAAGCTATGTTATATAAATCGAAAGTTTTATTTTTTCAGCACTTCTCCAGTCAAATATTGGGATCAGTTTCTAGTGTTTGTCATGATCGGGCACATCATGACCTATGTGATATCAGGTCAGGTCATAACACTAATAGTATGCATTAGTTTTCAAGGCAATATCGTGCATCAATATTATTAGCAATAAAGTCAAACCTGAAATTGTAGTTGAGAAATGATGACCATATGATAATGGACAAGAGAATAAAATCACATAACAATAGTTAAACAAAGATCATAAGAAGATTATCATTGGACACTAGTGACAAGTAGATCATAGTAGGGCATCCACAATTGTTAGAGGTAGCCATTAGCATTGATCATCAAGCAGAGCTCTTACTAACTTAACTCTTAAGTTTAGCTTCAAGCCTTTAAGCATCACCTCTACTCATGTTAAGAATGGAGGTTTATTTATAAATATGATGATCTGTATAGAAATCCCCACACCCAACCAATGTCATGAGCACTTGAATCAAGCAAGAAAAAATATTTTACTCTACATTACTTGAATTCAGCTCTCCAGAACGAAACTTACAAACCAACTCTCAGTCTCTCATAATAATTGTCTTTACTATGCTCACTACATTCATAAAATGCAGAAAAACTTACAGTCCTCTGAGCTTCAGCTGGATCATTCTTTCATGGAGGCAACAGCTTCTTAATCCCTGCCTTCTGCTCTGTAGTTAACCTTGCTGGAAACTTAATATCAAACTTTATCCTCAAATTTCCTTTCTTGGAAGGATCTTTTGGTATTGGCATGCCTTCCCTTGGCACCACCTCTTCATATCCAGGATGAATAATGGAGTTTATGGGTATGGTGAGTGTTCTTCCATCCAAAGTTTTGAGATGAACTGTGTAGCCTGTAAGAGCTTCAGCTAGGGAGATCTTCTGTGTGAAAATGAGATCATTTCCATCCCTTTTGAAGGAATCATGAGGCTTTTCGTCAACAATGAAGACGATGTCGGCCGGAACGACGTTGGGCTGCTCGTTGCCTTTCTCAGGGAATGTAATCTTGGTTCCTTTCTTCCATCCAGGTTTTATGTCGATCGTTAGGATTTCCTCCACTGTCATGGTTTTCCTGGTTGCATTGGAAAAATAAAAATGTCAAGTTAGGTGAAATAATCATGTCCATGATGAGTTATTCAGAATGAAAGAGGGAAAAGATGGATTAGGAACTCATGATATCTAAGTCTTAACCTACAGAAGTAACATTTCCATTCTAAACTTCATAAAAATTAAATTTTTGTTTCATTTCACTTTAAAAATGTATCATTTTACTTGAAAAACTGCAGATTGGTGATTAAGAAATAGCAATGGTGAATACCAACTAATTTGATCGATTAATATCATTAAACTAAATTTCACTCTAAAATGTAATTAAATTTTAAAAAGTGGTAATTCATCTTCCAATAGAACTGTATTTCTTCCTTCTTTAGTGCGCTTCGTGTGAAGGTAACAATATCTCTCCTCTTTCATGTTCACCTACTGAATTTTGGTACGAGATTTGAAGTTCGAATGTAGCGAACGGCTGAAAGCATCTATAAGATGGTATGGAGTTTGATTGGAGATAGTTCTTAGTAATCAAGATTCTAAAATAAAATAAATAATAACAAACTGGATAAAACAGTAGCATTTAACCATGATCGCAACAAAAGAAAGGTAGAAAGATTGGCAAAGCAACTTTTCATTGTTAAATATTTATTGCTTTATGAATTTTCTGAAGTCTAATATGTATAGACACTAAGCAACTAATCTGTCTGCCATGGCCTTCATGTGGCAAGTTTCAGAATAAATAATATAAAATCCAGTGTTAAATCTAATTAGTTATCACATCGAATGATAAAAACAACTTTTTTTTGTAGAATCGGGAATTGAATCATCAGGGAAAAGAAAAACTTACCCGCTGATATCAGCGATCTCCCTGGAAATCTTCATCTTTTTTGTGGTCCCCTTATACAAATCCTCAAGGGTGCAAGGCAACTTGTTCTCAATCGGCGGCGCTTTCTGCTGCCGCTGCGATTCCATCGGACTCTCTCTCATACCGCCGAACGCCGATCCGAAAAGATCATCTCCAAACATCGAATTCGAAAATCTAGTGCCCCCTCTCATCCCATTTCCCCCAGCCATGCCCCCAAAAGGGCTCGAGAATCCAAAGAACTCAGAGAAGATATCATCAGCGTTCCTCGGATTAAACCTAAACACGGTAGGCCCATCGCCGCTGGTGAAGAAAGTCGCGCCACCGGGTCCGGCGCCACCTCCCGCCGGCGGAGGAACACCGCCTTTAAGCCCTTCCTCCCCATACTGATCATACACAGCACGCTTTTGGGGATCGCTCAAGACCTAAAGCAAAATCGATCAAAATATTAAAATAAAAACACTTCGGCGAACTTCAAGATGTAATTTACGAGTAAAGAGATCGGAATACCTCATAGGCCTCAGAAATTTGCTTGAATTTCGCCTCGGCTTCCTTCTTATTGTTAGGGTTTTTGTCGGGATGCCATTTCATGGCGAGCTTGCGGTACGCTTTCTTCAAGTCATCATCTTTTGCGTTTCGATCGACTTGAAGTATCTTGTAATAGTCTATTCCCATTCCGGAGCTGCTGCTACTGCTGCCGGCTTCGGTTCTGGTGCCCTTCTTCTTCTTCGATTCCTCTGGTTCTTGTGCTTCGCTTCTTCTTCGCTTGGACTCCGTGTTTTCTAATTGAGAAATCGAGATGGTCAGTTTTAAGAGAGAAAGGATAGGAGGTGAAGAACGGAGAGATAGAGGAAGAAGGGAGAATACTCGCGAAGCGGGGAAGGAGACGAGAAGAGTGGCGAAGGTTCGAGAAAGATCGCGAACGAAGGACAGGTGGCAGGAAAGCTGAAAGGACACGTGACTGCGCATGATTTATATTATTATTTTTATTATTACTATTATAAATAAATTTAATTATAGTGTTACACGCACGAAATTATTAATATTTATTTAAGATAAATAAAATATAGATTTAATTAAATATTTATAGGGTGTTAAAAATTGATCCAACCTATCAATCTGACTCGGACCCCGATTTTGACTATTGTCGAGCCTATTTACATGATATGGCCAAAGAAGTGTGTGAAATGGATCATGGCAACGAGCAAGCTCCTGTCGTGCGTCGTCATTGACTGAAGGAGGTAAATTGGCGAAGAACAGTCGAAGGAGGCGAAGAAGGTCAATGGTTAGTTGTCAAGATGTTGTGACTTCTGAGACAAGAGGAACATGACTTCCGATCACTTCCGTCTAATGGATTTATAGGATTTGGTTGAAGAAGCATTCGAAATGACAGAAAGAGATGTTTATCGTCACAACGTGCTAGCTCCCGTGACTAGTCATCATTGATAGAGGTGAAGTTCACATATTTTCTTATGGGAAGTGAGTTGGGTTATGTCGAGTTGGTGGCGGGTCGGTTTTTATGTCTGAGATTTAACCCGTTTAAGTAAACTAGTAGGATTCAAGTTGGGTGTATTAAGAGCGGGTGAATTTCGAGTTGGATCTAAATCTGACCTGAAAACTCATTTTGATACCCCTAATTTATATATTATATGTATATTAAAATAATATAATAATTAAAAATGTATTATGAGTAAGATTTTATTTGGGACAGTTTTCTTACTACTTTAAACAACGAAAAATATAATTATATTTTTATTCATTTAATATTTTTACATTGATATAGAGTCCAAAATTACATATGCAATTGCCATGATATGCAACCAACAATAGTCCATCATTATAAATAATATATCATCACTACAAAAGACTGACATATACTATAAGAAACTCTAGTCTACAACCTAGAATAATCTCAATCCATAAAATTCTTATCCTTACCTGAAAGCAAATAAAAATCACATAATAAACAAATATCACAGCAAGTAACCAATACATATTGCTAAAGGAAATGCATAAAACAAAAAGTAAACATAATTGTACAAAAATATAGTAGTCAATAGAAATAATATCATGTATATCATATAAATCATGTACATTTTTATCATATGTATATCAGTCATATCCTTATCATACATCATATATTCATATTAGCACCATATTAGTCTAGCACATGTCAATCAATCAATCCTATCCTCGATCAATCAATCACTATGTATTGTATCTCATGTATCAATAATTTTATTAATCATCAATCTTATCAATTATCAGTCTTAGCAGTCATCAAACATCAATTACATCTGTCATTAATTTATCTTATCTATCATCATGATATATATCCTCTATCTGATCTATTATCTCGTCATTTGTCATATCTACCATATCATATATGCAATTTTGTATGATATTATGTATGAATATTATTGTTAAATTCAACAAGACATGCCATCTAGTTTTAAAGTGGTGTTTTTCATCATTCTATCTATCATCCATATATATCAATCAATCCGTCATTATCAATTAATCACATTTCTCAATTATTTCTATTAATAATGTATTTTAACAAGTGACTCAATAAATCAATGAAAAGTCGTCACTCTTTACCCGTCAACATAATCGATTAATCAGTTACATACTAGCATCTATGATTACACTACAAACGTTTTATTTTAAGGAAAGCACTCAGTCCTGTCACACCCCATAATCTAATTTGTAACGAATTTTATCTTTTAACTTTTAATAATCATAACCATAACTATCTAATTTATTTTAATAATAAAATACTAACATAAATAAATCTAATGATCAAAATATTAAAATACATGTGTTCACTACACAAAGGTCATAAATATTAGCTAGGAGTAATACAAATACAACAAACTATCTACCCAATCTTGAGCTCAAAACAACAACTAAAAGATAAAATGATAGCCTGAATAATTTTGCATATGATCAACCTCACACTCTCAAATCTCTTTCTCTAACCTGAAATCATCAAAACATATATATTAGGTATATACCCTTACTATTAAACTCAAAGCACGAAAAAAGTATTCATGAAATCATTCAGTTCATACTAGTATCAATCAATATAATCATAAATTTGTGTAAAAATTGTAAAACACATGTTGTAATAGTAAAGCCAGTAAGACAATCCAATATGGATGTGAAAATGGTAATGTTGTAAACTATCATTTTTAAACTAAATGTCATAGTAGTATTATCCAAACAATAAGACAATCATATAAATCAGTAAAACAGAAGTATCTATAAAAGTCATCAAAATTTTCTGACAATTTAGTACTATCAAAGAATCGTATAGGAGTGCTCAATAATAGTAAATCAGTAACATTAATGACTCATTAACAATAAATAAGTGCCTTATATACGTATCCAAATAGTCATATTAAATAGGTAAACAATTTTGGCTTGGGTGATATTTTTTAAGGAAGTATTCTTAGTTCGGAATCCCAGTGATTTTCAGCAATCAAAGTCATCACTTTTACCCCTAGGTATAGTAATTCTCCTTATAACTCGTAATTAGTAATCATGTGAATTAGTAGATGTTATCACCGCATATCACATTATTTAAAGGAATGTGCATTGGCCAACAATCTTATATGAGCAAAAAATAGCCTCCAACCAATCTCAGTAATAAACTGTCCTTTCTTATTTTTACACACATAATATTGTAAAGATAATAATAACTAATTATCACTCATTCACATGCTCATATTCATTCACAATGCTTGTATTAACATTATAATCATATCAAAATGCCAAAATCACAATTCTTACTCAAGTTGTACCAATGAAAATAAATACCAATCCATTTGTTGAAAATATAAATAATGTAGTCAAACTGTTCAAAATGAATAGTACGACCACATATAAAAAGTTATATGGTAACAACTACCTAAAATCAAAAATATAAAATGAAAATAATTTAGGATTGTTGCGTGTTAGAAAATACGCGGCGGTATAGTTTGTAAATTTGCGTCTAAGCGTTGCACGTAAGTTTAACACACAAACAGAAAAGAGAAGTGAACACCAAGAGTTTTTACGTGGAAAACCCAAAAAGGGAAAAAACCACGGGGCCTCGCCCAGTTGCAAATTTCCACTAGTGTTTTCGTAGATTACAAATGGCTGATTTCGTCCCACAAGTTGGGACAATCCAAGTACAATTTGTTTCTTCCACGAAATTTACAAAATTCTACGAATTCCTGGCATTTCCTGAAAATCCGGCAGAGTTCCGGCGTCTTCAGGCGGCAGGAAGAGCTCCGGCGGCGGTGGTCGAGGAGGTGAGGAATCTCCTTTTCCCCTTTCTCCTTCTCCTTCTCTTCTTATTCTCTCTCTTCACTTGAGTCCCCTTGGTGTAGAATGACGGCTCTATTTATAGTTTTTCTGGAGTGGCATAGCCCGTAAATAGGCGTGAGATCAAGGGGGAATTGGGAGTGGTTTGAATGGACGACCGATATCGAATCCTTTGATCATGCACCGTTCGTTGGACATTTGAAGCCCTTAATGATGTCGGAATTCAATGATCTTTGGTTCGTTGGATTTGTCTTGTTGAGCCGTTAGATTTGAGTATAAGCTCGTCAAAATCGGAGACCGTTTGGTAACTCAAATTGCGGTTTGAACCTTCCAACAGTGCTTTGAACCCTTGATTCGGGCTCATTTGGGCTCGGATTGGGTTGATCTTGGTGTCGTTGGGTTCGTATTTCCGAGACGCTCAGTTTGACTATAAGCTCGCTGAAATCGGAGTTCATATGCTCCCGAAATTAATTTTTGAAGTTTCCAACTAGCTTTTGCCTCGAGATTCGTGCCCGATCAAGATAATTTTGCGATGTCGTATCAAGGATAAATCAAATATAAAAATCAAAATCTTTAAAAATTAGAGTAGGTTAGAAATCACCTATAATGATCCGAAGAAATTTTGTAGAAATAGTAAAATAAATCAATAGTTAAATCTCAGCTTCCTCTCTCTGCTCTCTTCCTTCCCTTCCTTTCTCAGCAAGCCAAACCAAAGTGAGAGGCAGGAACAACTCAGTGGAGAAAGTTTGTATTAAAAACCATAATTTAGTGCCTAGTGTTACATCATTGTATGCTTAATACTGAATTGTTGTAGAAAAGAGAGCATAAGTTTCGTCGCATTAAATTTCAGAGGCCCAGCATTGCACCTTCAGAGCCAATGCGCACTAAAGCACAACGTCATAGTGCTCCAATTCATAATTTTTTTTCTTCATATTTTCCATTTTAAATATATTTTTTAGATTATTCAGTTTGTTATATGCCCACCGTCATGTATAAGATATTGTTATTCTAATAATCAACCTGTATTAATTATAGTGTTCACAACCAGACTTCCTTGCTTACATGCAAATGTTATATTTATCATATATTAGTCATATCATTTTTTCTATGCAATTCAATATAATGTATGAAATATAATAATTTATGAAATACAAAAAAATCTATACACTACTCATTAACTTCAAAAAATTATAACTACCAATTTACCTTATAAAATCTTTATATAAATGAATTAAAACATTCAGAATAACGATACATATATCACGTACATACAAAACTTACATGGTGAAAGTTCATTACAACGTGATATATCACATTATTATCACTTTCATAAGAGAGAGATATACATCAAGCTCAAAACCATCGAAATTATAAGTAGAGTAGAGGTCACTCTCAACATCTACATAATTTTCTTAATAGGAGCAACAGACAAAGAAACCCCAAAGGGCCTTCTCTCTCTCATCCCTCTCCTCTCTTCCATTTCTTTTACTTCTCCTTTCTTTCCTTCCTCTGAAAGCAAATCGAAAGAGGGAGGGGTATGGAGGTGGTGAGGAATATTTATATTAAATACATTGAAATTTAATTCACTGTTCAGTGCAGCAACACCCAACTTTTCAACACCACTACGTTGCATGTCGATCCAAAAATTACTATAGAACGAGACTGTGATGTAGCGACAGCATTTCCTGGTGTCGTAGTGCTTTCCAGCACAATGCCGCAACGCTGTAACCCATATTTTTATATTTTTTAGATTTTTTTTTAATTTTAGGTTATTATAGCTTATAATCAAGTTCATTATTCCAATGATCTTACACTGACTATCCAAACTAGTTATTGTTCTTCTCCCTCTTTCCAATGCTACTATTAAATGGTGGTTGCTATAACAACTTGATGTTAACAGTGCCATTCTCCAAATAGATCTCAATGAAAAAGTCTAGACCTGACCTGTCAAAATTTGATCCGACCCGAAAACCCGATCCGAAACCGACTCGAAATTCTCAGGTTCGGGTCTTTTCGGTTAAATAATGGGTTGGGTTAGGGTCTGGAATTTCGACCCATTTAGTTATTCGAGTCGGGTCCAGGTTAACCCGGAAACCCGATAGTAACCCGAATTGACCCGCGGCTTTAATAGATTTAATAAATAAAAATTATAACTTAGGGCGTCAGTCGAGTGACGAGCGGGGTCATATTAATCTCGTAACTCTCGTGACCTCGTCTCTACTCTCTCGTTCCGTCTCCTGGCTGTTTAGGGTTTCTGATTCTCTCAGTCTCCGCCTCTCAGTCTCGTCGGCACGATGACGTCTACGCTTACGCTTCACACATTCCCTAATCTGTTTCACTGTTTGTATCTCGTTTCTCATTTTTATTAGTATTTTTTGATAGTTTAGAAGATGAAGCCATGAAGGTTTTGATCTTTTGTGTTCTTTATTTTATCATATATTGATTTATTCTCTAAGACTCTATTTCTCTGCGATGGTGTTGAGATTTTTGGAAGTTGAAGTTATCCCATATTCCCATGAAATCCATTTCTCTGCTAGGGTTTATTTCGGCTAGGGTTATAA